CTGTACCACAGGCGTCCGGAGCAAAGCAGAGCAAAGCCGCGGAGCACGCGGGCAGCGGACAGCCCAGACGCGTCTGGGCTGTCCTCTGCCCGCGTGTTCCGCCGCTTTGCTTCCTCTCCCTGGTCTGCTGGAGACCAGGGAGAGGGAGGGCGCCGTTCGTAACTGCGGATCCAACGTAAGTCAGATCCACATAACTTGGGGACTGCCTGTACTGCTATGGAAAGGAGTGCCCTAAGTTATACTGGCCACTAGCTATCCTATGGGTTCTCTTGTGGCCTTCTAAACTCCTGGGCATCTGAACATACATACTTAAACCTTTATTTCTGATGCAATGCTCAGTGGTACCCTTTTCCTCACCTACAGCACATGCCTTTGAATTTCCATCATTAATACCACAGTACAACTCACGAAGTGAAGTATCTGAGCAACCCTGCATTATCCCGAGAGCTTTCTGTATGAATTATTTCACAAGGCAGGAGGCTGAACAGATGCCCTGGGCATTAAATAAAAGTCAAGGGACAGAATGGTGTAGCTCCATTGAAGTTAAATAGATTTACATCAGGTGAGAATCTGGCTCATTCCACATCTACCTTATTTCCTTTTAAAATAAAACCCATTAGACGAAGTTGTGAAAAGGGAAGAAGGTGTTCATTTCAGCTGCTTTTTTGCCAAGCTATTAGAAAAGCAGTTTTTGAAACATGAGCTTTTGCAGACAGGCAGCCTCATCTACCTGTGAACTTCAGCAAGTCTGAAATTCTGACATGCAATTGATATAGCAGGAAGCTCCTGATAAATTACCAGTTTGGGGAGGCAGAGAATTCTGGGAAGATTTCCCAGGAGATGGTCAAAAGCCCAATAGGTTGAGCAAAGGTTCAAGTTCTGCAGAGATGCAGGAGAACGCAGTATGAGGCTTGCTGGATACAGACTGAGCAAAGGATGGAATCAGGGGTCAAGGGAAAGAAGAGATTTATTTCCCAACTTCCAAGATTAGAATAGCCGTAGTGTGTCAGACCAATGGTCTGTCTAGCCCAAGATCCTATTTTCTGACAGTGGCCAATGCCAGGTGCCCTAGAGGAAACGAACAGAACAGGGAATCAAGTGATCCCTCCTTGGTCATCCATTCCCAGCTTCAGGCTAACAAAAGCTAGGGATACCATAACTGCCCATCCTGGCTAACAGCCAATGATGGACTTATCCTCACTGAACTTTCCTAGTTTTTTTTTTTTAAACTACATGTAATTTCAGAGAAGTTGTAGACTCTTCTTTAGTAACTTTAAATCTGTACCTGGCATATTGACTTTTAAAGGGTCCATCTCTGCTCTTGGCCATAACATCGTAAATTCTGAGTACTCCATCGAAGTCGTAATGGATTCACACTTCAGCTACTGTGCAGAATTTAGCTAGAGGAGTCTGCTCAATCATCTATGCCTCAGCGCATCTAACCAAGCCCAAGATGTCACAGGCTTATTATTGGTAACAGCAATTGCGTTACAGACCATCAGCCAGAGACCAACGCTGCACAAGAAAATACACAGTTCCAACCCTGATTTTCAGCAACTCAGTAACGTTTATTTACGTGGAAACCAACAGGTGTGAATTCTGCGCTCTGCTTTGGGGCACTTGCTGTAAAAAAGCAACAGACTTTCTGCTCTGACCACTGTAATGTACAACCCAACAGAAGGTGACAGGAGCTGCATTCAGAGCACTTATGGGCAACAGGCTCTCTGCCATCACCCCGGCATATGCCAGTGTGGCTGCTGAAGAATTAAGCTTTAATGAGAGAAACAATTCGGCAAGGCCTCCTTTCGTGCACGCAAAGCGAGAAGAGGGAATCAAGCTGAAGTCAAACCACTGTGGGGTTGTTCTTTTCATCAGCCAGAAATGTAATCCGTGTCGTAGCTACGTATGCCCAAGCATGTGTGAACGTGCACCCCTCACAGAAACAGGGCGCTCTGCTAATAAGCTGGGCAGCATTTAAATCACTCCTGAGCGCACAGATTACAGGGAACCCTGGTTCTAAGGGAAGTGCTGTCATCCACAAAGCATTTTGCTATCTTTGTGAGCCACCAAAAACTGACAGCAAAGCTACTTTTCACATCTCACAACCCCAGAGGCCCCCTGCCCCTACTACCTGAACCCTCACAGCCTGAGGCAGCAATGCCAGAACAAGACACCATCACTTGCCCGATAGCGACTGACATTTTCAGATTTTTAACGACTTAGAAATCCACTAGCAGAGCCCAAAGCTGGCTCCCTATTACATGTCTTCAAGAAGTAAGACACCCCCAAATCCTAGATCACAACCACCCCCTCCATACCGCGTCACAACATTCTAGTATTTGGGGCCGAAGCTGCTTGAATTGTGCAGTATTCACTTTGCTTTCTGAATAGCCACCAAACATTAGGCTTGCAGTCTCTGCCTGGGAACCTGTTTTCTGACTGGTGTGTACGACAGAATGAAACTCAGACCTGACATAAGGTTGTAATTACAGTCAAGTCTCAGCATCTGCTTCCACCAGGTCTGACTCTGGCTCATCACTGTTTGGGCCATTTGTCATGCCTGGCAATCCTCCCCCTCCCCACCTCACACAGTGCAGTCTATTGAAGCCAGTGTCTGGCCAGCTCTGCACTTCTGGGCCCTGGCCCTGCTCTGTCTGGAGACTGGCTTGCTTTGTCCCTTGCCTTTTTGCCCACAACGAAGCATGAACAAGACTGGTTACCGCTCCCATCAGCTCACTGACCATTTTCCACCAGGCTCTGGTAGCCCTCCTTTCGGAATCATTGTTCTCCAAGTCAAGCATTGAAAGGCCAACTGCGGGTCACCCAGAGCACAGCAAGAGGGATTAAAACGCCACGTGGAAAAGCAAAAGCTGACTATCGAGGTGGGCATGGCTGATTGTAAGTGTTCCTTCTGCTCTTATAAAAGAAAAGCCACCCACGAACGCCAGTCGTCAGCTTACCTGCCACGCCACAGCTAGCTGGGAGATCTCTCGGCCAGACATGCCCTCTGTCAGCTTGGCAATCTCAGAACACTTTTTCCCGTAGTCAAACTGGGCCAGCTTTAGACGCCTACAAGCAGAAGCACAAGGATCAGTTTCCATTCAGGAACATCGCGAGACAAAAACAGGAAAGTGAGATTTTGAGAAGTGCTCTGGCCTCCATTTAGGTGGATGGAAACAAAGTGAGGCCAATGCAGGTGCCATACGTTCGCATGCTCTCAAGGGAGCATTTACATACAGGCGCCAGGAGCTGGAATAGCACACGGACCACAGCTAGGCACAGCTATCTGTGGTGGGCTCCTAAAGGTTCCTGACCAGATTTAGACTCCTGCTGAGAAGGTTAATTAGGCCCCTGGCATCTCGAATGGAGGCAGAGGCAGCCCCCCCCCAAAGTGCCGGGAACTGGTTGAAAATAATGGAGAAGTATGGCTGCTACGCTGGTTAACCATCACTATTCAAGCAATTTTATCTGCCAGCAGCAGTTCGCTTTTGGAAATTAGGAAACAAAGGATCAAACTGGCCCCCCAGTGTAATCTTGATGGTCACAGCTGGTTGTCAGCTCTTCTCTCATTAATTCGTGCCCCCCCTCTAGCTGGTGAAATTTCCACTTCTCTTCATGAGGTCTATGCCAAATGTTCCAGAGTTTCATAAGCACTAAGAAAAAAAAAGAGGGATTTGTCAGGAGGCTGCATCTCTATCCCATTTGTGGCCTGGGGACCTGAAGGACAAGACAGCGGAAGGCAAAGCTCACAGCTTACACGTAGCCCGAGCAGAGGGCTGGGAATCAAGAGACCAGGATTCTACCCCCAGCTCTGCTGACGGCATCCCGTGTGAGGGACTCCCTCTGAGCCCCAATATATCCCACTCTGCAGCATGTTGGCTCCCACCCCCACGCTGGTGGTAAGAAGGACAAAGGGGGAGATTCTGAGATAAGCTGTCAAGAGTAAGGCAGCGTGAAACTCTGAATGAGACTGAATGAGGAGTGTTCTGGAAGCAAGTTGTTGTTTGGCTCTTAGGTATTCTAGGGGCATGGCATGCAAACCACAATGTGGGTTTTTCACACAAGGGAGTCTGGACTTCGTGAGTCCCCCAGCAACTGAGAAGTGGTCAAACCCACAAAAGCCACAGTTTCATGAGGTATAAATATTTGGCTAGCAAATGAGGACTGGGATAAGCTTCCTAAAGGGGCACACACTTGAAACTGTAAGCAATCAGGAAATTTCTCTGCCTTCACTTTTGCCTCATCTCCCTTCTTTAATAGTCTCCTGACTGTTCCCCCTCCTCCCAGAGATGCTTATTCTGGGGGGCGGGGGAGAAGAAACAGGGAGAACCACTGACAGACTGGGATATGTCCCAAGCTGACCGAAACATGAATCCATTATCACCACAGCACTTACAACCCAGTGACGAACCCCAATATACTAGGTGCTGCACAAACAAAACAAAGGTCACTGCCCCAAGGAGCTTACAATCTAAATAGAAGACATGACAGATGGCCACAGACTCTGGCCACAGGCTCAGGCCATGTCTCCACTTACCGGAGGATGGACACTCTGGCGACTGATCTTTCAAGGTTTTTTTTATTTAGCAGGTCTAATAACGACCCAGTAAATCGAATGCTATGATGCCCCCATTGACTGTAGTACTACTTGCTGTCATGAGAAGAATTTCTCCTGTTGGCCTCCTGTGGGGGCCTCCCCCAGAAAAAAAAAAAAAAACAATGCAAGGTACATCGACTTCAGCCATGCAATTCACGTAGCTGGAGTTGTGCATGTTGCATCAATTTTCTCCACCAGGGTAGACCTGGCTTGACAGACAGTGGAGTACGAGGAAATTCCTTCCCCAGTGGCCTAATTACTGCCAAGAGTCCAGTCACCAAGGTATTGGGGGCCCAGTTATCACCTTCCCCAAATTCTACTCAAGAGCAGGGGACGCTCTTGAATGATGAAGAAGAAAAGCTCAGAGTCACTCTGCAGCAAACGTTCTCCTGAAGCCCTGAGAAATCCACCTTCTGATCACAAGGCGCAACTGGCTGTGAGGGCAACTTTGGCCTCCCCAGTGATGATAATCAACAAAGAGCTTTTCTCTGACTCGGGGACCAAACCCTCAGTGACCCCACTGCTCTGAGATGGGATACTTACTGTTTCCCCTCTGTGGCAGGCTTCAAGACGTGCTTATCAAAATACATCCTCACCAGTCGCTCCCGCTCTTCTAGCTGCGGTAGGTCAAAGTTCACCATTTCATCGATTCGGTCGTTGATGGCCCAATCAAACTGCTCTGGCTGGTTACTTGCTAAAACAAGCATAAACCTGGTGAGGAGAGAAGAAGGGAGAGTAGTGAGAAAGACCCCCATGGGTGTGGCTGCAATACGCTGACTCATGACTGCTGTGGCCTGGAGATCTGCACACTGCAGAGTCCACATGATGCTTGGTCCTACAATTCCTCATGTAACTTTGCAGTCGTAGCAACATGTACCCAGATCCTATTGCAGCATGACATAGTACATGGGTTAGAATGTGCAACATGCACATGTTACACAAGACATTCATCTTTTCCCACTTTCTAATCCTCCAGCGAAGGCCTGCTCGGTGTGGCCATTGCTTCGACTGCGACAGATGTGGGCTGGAAAGAGGCTTGGAACACCAGCACAGAAGCAGCTGGCTAGAGCGTGAGAGCCAACAAATAGACCAGCACCGATATCACCCATACTAGCTGAAGAGACTGGCCCAGAGGCTGGCAAGAGGACAGATTCTCTCACACCTCTAGGTCACTGGTTCACACTCACTCCAGAGAGCTGGATGAAAGCTCTTACCCTCTAGCAGCAGTCTGGTATCTTAAATGAAACAAGATTGGGGGGAGGGAGAAAAGAGGCTCACAAAAAACTTGCCGCACAGAGAGAACCTTTGCTGGCTCTTTCAGTGGAAACACCAAAGACTGGTCAGAACCATCTTCCTTTAGGATAGCAATAGGCAACGTAAGCTAGTGAGTGGGCTGCATGACTGACCCTCCATCTCAGGGGGCTTCAAAATTGTCATAACCAAGGCAGTGTCCTGGAACAGGGTCATTTTGCTCACTGTGCTTGCGTGCCTAGAATTTGCAGGGGGTGCCGATGGAACCGTAGCAGCGCTTTGACTGGATGCAGAGGGAGCGCCCAGCTCTCACAGTCAATGCTATGTACAGAACCTCACTTCATGTGCCCTGGCTTTACGTGTGCATCACTTCAGTAATGCTGATAGGGAGAAAAACCAAACAGTCCAAAATCAGTGGAATTTAGTAACCCTGCATGTGGGCACCAGTAAACAAAAGTTTTCACGAGCCACATATACAACCCATGCTACATATACAAGCCAGCCCCATGCTCGGAGGAGACTCCCCAGTGATGGCACAGTTGTGGCTGCACCCGCTTTGTGACAGGACTATTTGGGTCCCTGCGGTTCAGAAGCAGCTGTTTGCAGGCACATTAATTCCTCTGGAAAGATGGAAACATTTAGCAGCAGGGAGCCTGCAAGTGGCAGGGAAATTGCTTTTGATTTAAACCTGGATAACACCAGGCATTTCCTTCAGCGTGAACATGCAGGGAGAGCCCAGCCTTTGAAGCACACTGGCAAGCGCACCTAAGAGAAGGTGGTGTTCAAGATCGGGCAGGCCAAGGGAAGCCGACCTGACCTCCCATTGCTCCAGCAGCTACCCACCCCTGCCCTCTCGCTCCCTGCCTGGTGTCTTCCCAATTTGCATTTTGAAACCGCCTGCTTTTTCGCTTTGTAACGATGCACTCTCCGCATGCCAATTTTACTTTAATGAAATTAATTGATGTGACTGGCTTAATGGTACTGGTTAATTTGAAATGGGCTTGTAACAGCAGCTTTCGGAATATCAACACTCTTTGCCATTTGTTTAAATCCAGGCCTGCCAGAGGCCATGTTCTTTGCATTTATTTGCAACGATAGCTTGTCTGGCCCCAAAGTTGCACTGGCATGAACCTATTTCATCTGCTGAGCCATGGGGGACACACAGACGGGCTTTCCTAGACAGAGGGCTTTCCTCGGGCAGGGGAAAGATTAAGTGAGACACCTTGATAGAAGGGATCTGAGAAAGTCTCTTGGAGATGTTGGGCACCTGTTATTAACACTCTGATTTCCTGGTACATCCTCTGGGGAAGCTAAGGTCAGTTGTATAAAACTGAACACTCAGAGGCAGTTCCTGCTAAGTAACAGAACTCTCCGGGTCCCACTGATGCTGGTTTCTTTACATGGACCATCAGAGTCACATCCCAAAATTCCCATCTATGGCTGGCATGGAGGATTTGACAACTAAAAAAGCTGCACTGAGAATCTCTCAATTAAGCCATGTACAAAATCCAGGAAGGGTTGGTTAGTTTTCCTAGAATGGCTCACTGCAGGAGTCATGGGCAAGTTACGTACCCATCAAAATGAAGAACTGATCATTTGGATTGGAGCACGGGACCAGCAAACCCAGGAACAAGCTTCTCCAGAGCTCTGCCCAATGCACCTCAAAAAGGGAGCTCAAGCGCCCAGGCTGTTTCCGGATCGCTGTGTGACTGACTCTGCCCACTTCTATATTTACCCACACATCGAGGCTCTGGGATCTTCTGGCTTCCGATTTAGCAGGTCTAGTAAGGACCTGCTAAATCGAATGCTGAGGGTGCCCCCCTTTGGGCACGGATACTCCTACTCCTCATGAGGTATAAGAGGAATTGACGGGAGCGGTTCTCCCATCAACCTCCAGTTGTGGGCATGGTGTCAAAGTTTGAAACAAGGTACGTTGACTCCAGCTACACAATTAACACAGCTGGATTTGCACATCTTAATTCAAAGTTATCTTCTAGTGTAGACCTGGCCTGTGATGCTAGGCTTCAGTTTACCCTTGAAATATAGAGCCATAAGGTTTACTCCTTGGGAGGAAAGACAGAAAATAATTGCAATAAACCTTGAGCTGCAACACACTATTATTCCTGAGTCCTGGGGCTTCTTCTGGACAAAACTCCCTAGCTGCTCTCTATTGTTTTGGCAAGACATAGGGCAAACAACAGCCTTTAAGATACCTGATGATTAGACATTATACAGCTTTACCCTTTAAATCTTTGCTGTGTTGTCTTAACACACCACAACGCTCACTCAGAACGTGTAGCATTTGTTCTACACCGCTGGGAAATACTGAAGTAGCACTGCTTAATTCTTAGCATTGCTAGAACTTTTCCAAGTGCTTCAGAAAATGAGACCAAGAATCCCCATCCCCATTGTACTGCAGGGGAAACCAAGGCACAGGAATTCAGCGTGCCAGGAAGAGACTCCAGAATGTGTGTCTCACGTTTCAGTGCCCCCTATGTAGTTGGCCACATTCCCACCCTATTAAAACACCTGAAAAGTTTAAGGGGGATCAATGTACCTAAACCATACACTTTGCAGGCTATAGGTCTCATCCCTGCTAAGGAGAGTCCAGTGGGTGCCTCGGAGGAAAATCCCTTAGCTAACTGTCCTGAGCAGTCAGACTATTACCATGACAATGTGCACTGTCTATGTCCTTCATTACATTTTAATCACTGGGCAGCTGACCTCCTGGCACTCTCAAAGGAGATGGCTATTTTTGATTTGGCTCATGTATAAAAGGAGAAATTTAATTATCAAGCAGATTTGGCAAAGAACCAAGTAATATGACTAAGGGAGGAAAAAATCACCTTTATGTGACCATTATGATCAGAGGGAAATGAATCCCATTAGGTGAAAGAGTGCTCTCCAAATGGGAAATGCTGACTGTACAGAAGCAGGGCAGAAGGTGAAAGACAGCCAGTCTAATTCACATGCACGCATCTTTGACAAGAACACCCCACAATAACCTGCATTTGGGGACACACGTGACTGGCTCAGAGAATAGCTCTAAGTGTATTTACAATAGAGAGGACAAATATATGCAATCCACTTGACAGCTTGTTCACAAGTGAGACCAGGGCCAGCTTTAGGCACGAGAGATGGCTCGCTCTGAGGCACATGGTCAGAGGGGACACTAGAACAGGATGAGAGCTGCAAGTCAGATGCCAGGATGTCCTGTCAAAAGGGTTCAAACTAGGGATGTTAAATATTGACTGACTAATCAAATAGTCAATGCAAAATTCATCTACTATTCAATTAGTCGATAGGGCACCTCCGCCTCTGAAGTGTAACAGCCACCCAAAGCCTGTTGCTATACTTCAAAGGTGTGAAAGTCACATGGAGCACAGGGTCAGCTGGGGACTCCCCCGCTGACTCTGGGCTCCGTGCAGCACTGCTGCTTTGAAACACCGCGAGGAGCCTGACCCCAGGCTCCCCATGGCACTTCAAAGAGATAGTGCTGCATGGAGCCCGGGGTCAACGGGGGAGTCCCTGGCTGATCCCGGGCTCCATGCAGTGCTGCTGCTTTGAAATGGCATGTGCAACCTGGGGACACCCCAGCTGGCCCCGTGTTCCTTGAGACATTTCAAAGCGGCAGTGCTGCTTGGAGCCCACGGTCTGGCCCCAGGCTTCATGCAGTGCCGCCGCTTTGAAGTACCCCATCCTCTTTCCCCTCCTCCTTGTGATGCAGGCAGCAAGGTGGGGAGAGAGGGGGGAGACTAGTTGACTAGCCTCCTGACTATCTGATAAGCATTTGCTTATCGGATAGCTGACTGGTCCTTCACATCCCTAGTTCAAACACACATCTGAGTGCCACTCAACCTCATGGTGAGCCTACCACTTTAAGTAACACTGATGTCCAAGAAGTCAGACTCCGCTGGCTTAGCAGAAATGCTAACTGCTCAAGGAGAAAGTTTGTGTTTATGCTTCCTTCAAGGCGATCTACAGACCCATATACCACCTCTAACTAAGGATTTTAAGATGCGGGTAACTGGGTAATCGTGTAGTCAATACAATTTGACTAGGCTTATCGGGTAGTAGACTATTTGATTACTCTTTTATATCCCTACCCATATCAGTTAAGGTCGTACAATGCACCTCAAACACTAGAATAGAGCTATATGCCGTATCTGCATGTATAAGGACTACTAGATCTGTTGTACCACATATTCGAACGAGATCTGTACAAGCTCCCTTCAAACACTTTCTGGGGCACCCAAAGAGCCTCCAAGTTTGACAATTTGGAGTCTCCACCCTGCACGACACTTAGGAGCTTATTTTCTGGCTTCAAGGAAAGAGAAGCAGGTGACCACATTTACATATTACTTTTAAGAAGTCAGTCACTCAGTTTGCTCATCAGACTTTTGTATTTGATGGAAGAGCTCAAAGGTCTAACTCCCAATGACCCTCTTCACTTGCATACCCTTTCACCAGGCAAAAAAGGACGTAGTGACTTTTGCCTGCTTTTTGCAGCACTGGAGTTGCTGTACTCCAGAGAATGGGTTCTTACTTGTTGCTGTGCTGTCCTGTCCTGTGCAGAAATGCGTTCAGTGTCGCTCTCAGGTCTTCACTGATTTTCTCCTGCAGAGATACATTTCAGAGACTGGTCAGTCACCCTTGGGCTGCAACCTTTCCAAATACTAATAGTCATTTTTGTGTTTGTATGGTAGTTGCCTAGAGACCTTGCACAAAGCCAGGGCCCCTTAGATGAGGCACTGTGTACACACTAAGTGTGCCTGCTCTGAAGAGCTTGCAAGCTACATATTCAAGAGAGTGGGAAGGGAAAAAACACAGAAGTGAAAGTTACCAAGCACACCAGTGGCAAAGGCAGGAAAAGAACCCAGCTCTCTTGGCTCCCAGTACAGTGCGCTAGCCACTGGATCATGCTGCCTCTGGCTATCTAATGTACTTAAGGGAAGCTGTCATTTTCTATCTAGGTACCTGAAAGGAAGGGGAATAAATAGCTGCAGTAAGCAAAGGATTCCCTTGCATTGTATGAACATGATTTCTCCAGAGCTGGTTATAAAAAAACCTTTAACTGGTTCACTTGGATGCTGAGTGCTGGGCCTCAGAGCAATGCGCAGCATGGGAATTTGTTCAACAGGCAAAAAGAAATTTGTGGCTTTTTTGGTGCAACTTTGTTACTGCTGTGGAAAGCAACTCAGATTTTACAGAAGCCCAAGCCAGCCACTGGCCAGGGTAACACACACCTGCAGGGGCACGGCAGTGAAATGTGGGATCATGTTTCCTCTGCCTCCTGTTATTTTAATTACTTATTTTCTTTCCTATCCCCAGCCACCTACAAGACTTCCAATACACAGTTCATGCTACCCCTCCATTTCCCATGTCAATTTCGAGTGAGGTTGCACCAGGCAGTTGCAAGAGGGCAATTTCTCCTCTTCAAGTCACTAGATTACATAAAGAGTAGGGCACCTGGCAGTATTAATCATTTTTGCCTGGTGAAACTAACTAATCCGGTTAATCATGAAGGCTGCTTGCTGAGTGACTGACCCCCACCACACACAGATGGAGCTGCATGGAAAGTACTCACTGTCGCCCTCTTCCGTAGGAAGGCGTCTGCTTCATCCACAAACAGCAAGAGGCTGTGAAGGGAAAAAAAGCTAAAACAAGCAGAAACACAGGGAAACAAATACAAGGCAAGAGGGCCAATGACCTACAGTCCCCTAACTGGCTAAGGATACCTCCCCCTTAGACCTGATCAGCTGAGGTGTCTAAGTGGACACTCCACTGGTGTATATGGGGAGTGGCTGCTGGTGGGGTCCCACAGACTTGGAAATTGTAGCCCAATGGTCAGAAATCACCTTAATTGGGAACTTTCAGGGCACAGGGCAAAGCTCTTCTCTATTCTCCAGCTGTCTGAAACAGGAGGGAGCATGGAATAGCTACAGGGGGTCTGAGGCTTTGAATTGCATGGTTTAATGGAAGTGGATAATCCTAAATTGTACTGCTGCACTTGAGTTATGTTCAAGTAATTAAGTAGGGTAGGTGCTCCTAGCGTTTGTATACATCTAAGTAAACGAACAGCTCGAGGTACTAGGCAGACATCCAAGAACCCAACAGGCTGCGGCTGCTGTTATTTCACCAATGTGATTTTCAGATCACTGCCATGGAATGAAAATTTCCCCCACTAACTGGTGGTATTTTCCCCATATCTTCTCTTTGGCTGTGTCTAGACTGCAGGCTTCTTTCGAAAGAGGCTCTTTCGAAAGCATCTTTCGAAAGAGCCTCTTTCGAAAGATCGCATCTAGACTGCAGGCGGATCTTTCGAAAGAGAAATCCGCTTTTTCGAAAGAGAGCACCCAGCGAGTCTGGATGCTCTCTTTCGAAGACGGCCTCTTTACATTGAAGAACGCCTTCTTTCGAAAGAGGAACTTTCGAAAGAAGGCGTTCTTCCTCGTGAAATGAGGTTTACCGCCATCGAAAGAAAAGCCGCGTTCTTTCGAAATAATTTCGAAAGAACGCGGCTTGAGTCTGGACGCAGGGGAAGTTTTTTCGGGAAAAGGCTACTTTTCCCGAAAAAAACCCTGAGTCTGGACACGGCCTTTGTTAGCTTAATTGTTTTTGAATACACAGATGGAAATAATGGTTTTATTACTTATGTATTTGTTTCTCCAGGTAAAGTCAATGAATAATTCAGAAAATAAATGCTTTGGTAACACAAAGTTTCTGGTCCCTGCAGGAGACAGAGGGTAAAGAGAGGAGACCAGTGTATTATATTCCTATCTAACACAGAGAATAGATGTTGTTTCAAGTGATCCAAGTGCCTTATTTAAAAAAACCCTTTTACTGAACTCCAGCACTCCTGAAAATATTTTCAGCTACTCCTTCCCAATGGCACAGTTTGAGTTGCCTTTGCCCCTGCCTCCAAATATTGGCAACTTAACTGCTCAATGTCAACTCTGAAAGACAATACGTCCTTGATGGAAGCAGGTTAGAAGCTTGCGCACACTGCTCCTAGAACGTGAACGTATATACCCATGGCCTTTGCCGTTTACTATTTCTGGGATGGAGCCTTGAGATGTAGCAAGTGTGTATGTTCAAATTCCAAACCAACCAGTGCTGTGAAGTGTGGCAGTCTGCTGGGGAGTCTGGTTTAGAGGAGGGACTCTCCCCTC